TCCACTGCCTGCAGTTACCTGAGCTGAAGGTTTTCTTCAATATGGACACTAGTTCTGATGAGCCTCAGCACGAGCAGTTTGCTGGACGTGTTCAGTGTGACAAAGACGCTCTGACGACAGGACGAGTCAGACTTCAGCTGTCCAGAGTTAGGAGTAACGACTCGGGCCGCTACCTCTGCAGGATGGCCACTCAGTTTGGAAAGAAGGTTAAAGAGTTCAGGCTCAACATCACTGGTAAGCTTTGTATGTGTGTGTGTGTGTGTTTGTGCGTGTACGACTACTATTCCTATTTCTGCTACTGGAGTAATGACATTTATTTACATATCACTTTTACAAAGCTAAAAAAGGGCCGGAAAAACAAATTCATATTGAAAACACAAAACTTTAGAATACACAAATACATATTTACAGTTAAAATAATGTAAATATAATAACCAGGCTTCAGGGTGAGAGAGGATTTTTTGTGTTAATGGAAATAATCAGGAAAGCAGGATTCCTTGATGGATCCCACATCTTCTCAAAGTTATAATCCACAGGGGGCACCTTGGAAGTCTGCAGAATCTGCAGTCCACTTGGAAAATGATGGAAGTCCAAATCCTTCTCAGAGTTATAATCTAACATGGCATTGATAATGATGATCATGATGATGTTGAGGGAAATGGAGACAAATCCAAACCCTAATCCCCTTTAATCCAGATACTTTTCTCTTTAAAACTGTGTGTCAATTACAATAATCTCAATACAATCCCCTTTTTCACTAAACATACACTTTGAAAGTCAGGCATTCAGAGATCATAGTGTACTCTATGTGGTCATTCACTCTTCACATTCACTCTCATATCGTTCAAGGATGTTTCTACACAGGCTGTCTTCTAGACCCGAGTTACGCCTGTATCTAAAATAATTATTTTCTTTTCATACTTTTATTCTTAGTCATCCTTTTAGCCAAACTCAAACATCTTTATATTTACTAATTATGTTCTGATCATTATTGAGCATAATTAACTTTCACCATTTAACACTGTTTTTGTTGATCAAAAGTATAATGATGGTTTGGCAACACAGATCTTATCTTTTCAAACTAAGACATGAATAAAAAGTCTGCACACACAAAATCCGGACATTAGAATAGACATTATCACTGCTCAGACTAGATCTGTCTGCTAACATGAAGATACATTTTAAATTGCGTCTTAAAATGTATTATTTTATTGTGGCTTTTGATTCAAACTAGTATGTTATTTCGTGGCTATTTTTTTTTTGTTTGTTTCAAACAATTGTCATATTGTGTCTTGCCCTCCTTTTAACTGTTTCTTTTATTCTGTCTTATGCTCTTGCTCTGACCGACTGTGAAGCATTTTGATGTCATACTGCTTTTATGTTTTATGTTAACTGCTTTCAAGTTGAGTTTGCCTCTCCAGCAATGGACATCTTTGGTCAAATCTACTTGTTTTTAAGTGTTAAAAATGAACTGAATTTGAAAATACATTTATTTGGTATGTTCTTTCAGTAATCCTAATCAGTTGTATAATCAACACTTGTTTTTCACAGCAGCCACAGTGAAACCCAAGCCAGTGACAGCAACACGAGAACCAAACCGAAAACCTGAGAGAGGAGAAAGAAGCCTTTTTTCCAACTTGGCATTGGGTGCAGGATTGGCAGGATGTCTGGCAGCCTTTGTCATACCAATCATTTACCTCTTTACTCTATACAGACAGGGGACAACTTAAAGTATAAAACATAGTACACTCAGTCATACAATAGCTTCTGTAGACCTTGGTAGTGACTCTGCAGGGCTCTGGAACTTGGCTAGAGATCGTCTGATCACTGTCAGCGAGCTTATTGGATATGGGTCATTGTCCTCCTGGGAGAGACCAATCTCATCAGGATGAAGACGATTACTTAGAAAAACTGCAGTAACACTTCACTCTCAAGGATTAAGTGGAAACAAAGAATGGAAGCAAAGTGCCTGCTCAAGAAAGTGCAATGAGGAACATACATGTTCTTCTGCTGCCCCCTGCTGCTCTGAAGAGAAATGCAGGAGCTCAGTGACAAGTGCTGAGCAGGTCCTTCTGAGCTTTTGAAAACGGTTGGACATAAATCACAGAAGTCTCTGAATTCTCACCGTTTTCTACCTTATTAGTGTTACAGCTGAAATGTGAATTTAAAAAAAGAGTAACATCTATATTTAGTAAAATAAGAGAATACGGGTTTTTAATGACCTTTTATGTATTGTTGATAGTGACTCTGTTGTACTTTTATTACTGGATCTTAGTCCTGCATTTGACACACTGGAAAATAAGTTTGATTTTCCATGATTAACAATAAAATGGAGAAATCATGTAGGAGAGTCATGCCAGCAATTAAAACCGCTTCCTGTATCTTGTTAACCACAAACAAATGTAATCATGTGACCACACAAACACAAATGAGGAATACCTTACAATAATCATCAATCTTTCTTAGACTCAAACACATGGAAAGAGTGATCAGCAATCATTTTTGTCATTTCAAGTCACAATACCTAAATTTTTATTTTATTGTTGTTAAGGAAATAAAGTTTACCTCATTTTTTCATGTTAATTTCAGTCAGGTTACGGTCAGATCACAGTCTTAAGATAATTGTGGATCTGGGTCATTGTCTGAAAACAGTTTTTTAAAAATGAGGCTTGGGGGAAAATGTGACAGTGATATTGAGGCAAGTTGAGTCAGTGGCTGGAATATAACCCCAAAGAGTTTATGTAGACTATGTGCCTAGAAACATCTGCGTTTAAGTGTTCATTTCCAGTATTCCACAGAAAAGCTAAAGATGGCCAGACAGTGCAAAAGATAAAGGCTTTGCATTCTTAGATGATCTAAACAGAGCAGCAATGCTCTGCAGCAATTGATGGTAATGAAACTGAGCTCCATACACATATTAGTCTTCCCAAGGGAGGAAATATGTAGTTGGTTCTGTTTGTTTGTCTGATTGTTAGCAGTCTAGCTCGACAGTTGTCAGTATTATATTATATCACATTATTTTGTGATGGTAGATACCAATAAGTTTGAGTGGTTTTGATTTTGGTGAAAATGAGGTCAACATAAAGATCACACCAAATGTGAAAATCAGTATAAAAGTTTATGTTACCCACAATGTTTTATGAATTGTCTTCAAACTTCACAATATAATATGCTTCTGCGGACATGAGTACCTAGGACACCTGAACATTTGACCTGGACCCTTGTTAGTAGTCTACCATGGAAAAAAAAAAAAAACTTAAAAGAAACCACAATGTCATTAGATATAGTATGAAATATCATACGAAAGAACATGGAGAGAGCTGCACAACACGCGTTATTTTACGCTACCCATTGCCTTTTGGGGGAGTGGTGTTCTGAGTCCTCTTGTCCATCTTGTAGCTAACACACTAAAATCACAATTTAATATTTACTGAAAATGTTTCCATAGTATGAACAGGAAACAAATGTATTTTTACCTTTATTGAACTGAAGGCTCAATAAAGTTTGAAATTATCTCAAGCCTTAATGTGCAATTTTATTTACCCTTGTAGGGCCCATTTTACCCCAACATTGGGGCAAGTTGAGCCATGTGCCTAATGTTTTGATAGGTCATTGTTCTAAAAGCAAGGTGTTTGATAACTGGACTGGTTCTTATATTGTGTCTTTCTCACTACTCAGAGAGTTTTATCCAACTTGCCTCATTCACAAAAGCACTTTTTCCCCCTTAAGCGCAGTTTAACATTCACACTAATGCATCAGAGAGCAACTTGGGGTTACATCTCTTGCACACTGCAGCCAGGGATTGAACCACCAACCTTCCCATTGTTAGAGGACCTGCTCTACCCATGCTTTACAGAGTTCCTGTTTCACACAGTTAATTGGCTGAGTTCCCTTTTTTGTTTACAGGGATCTGAAAAGGCATCACTGTATCACCAGCCCTGCAACTTTAGAAGCACACATTACAGACAGGTTTCACTCTATCCCACCTTTACCAGGTTTTGACAGAAACCTGGTAAAACACACATATTTGTGGTGAGACTCCGCAAGAGCCATTTAATTTGCGTATTTTGACACTTGTCCACTTGTGTTGAATTTTTGTAATACACTTCTGTATTTACAAACTATTAAAACAGGTTATTTAAAATCCACAGATTGAAAGCATACATTCAGGAAGGCTGTGCATTTAAAAGGCCATAAGTATTGTCCAAAGAATCCAGTTGATGGATAAAACTTTGATCATGTTGTGAGGCATAACAAACACCCCCCCCCCCAAAAAAAAGCCACCGTCCCCATTGACACTTTAAAGTGAAAGGTGGGGCATTCGTAAGATTAGTGGCTGTTGCACCAAGCCTGGAAGTTCATACGTGTCCAGCTGATAGAGATTACGTCCTCTATCATTAGGCAAAGGTTCTTGCTCTGTGCAGCTCTGGAATAGCTTATTTCTCCATTCCCTCTTAAATAAAGGTGCATAAAACAAAGCACAGATGGCCAGTAAGATGGTTACAACTATTATTATTATTATAAGGGCTCTTAGCATCCTGACTGTCCATCTGTGAACTCTCAGCTGGCTTTTCAGGTTGATCTGTCGCTTCTGTAAGAACAAATATGTCAACTTTTTAGGACAAAATTACAAATCTAGCTCAACAACTGGCCATGCAACTATGGTGGCCATCTATCTAAAATAAATAAATAATAGAAGGAAGCTTCTACTCAACTTAACAATGTTGTTTAATTGACATCTTACATAGCTGTAATCTGTTGAGGAGCCAGAGAGAAATTCGATCAAACCCACTGAGCATTTCCCACATTACTGCAATTGTTCAAGTATACCATTACAGCCTAGCTGGAGTTATTTGTGAATTAGATGGATATTTCACAGATACTGCAAGATAAAACAATGGCAAATCAATCACAATATTGCAGTCTATAATTTATTTTTAATGATAATCCTGTAATGTTCAGTGTGTTTTAATTTCAAATGAAGGCATCAACTAACCACAGGCTAAAAAAGCCAGAAAGAAGAGAAGCATGGGAAAGCAGCTCATCTTCTGCCTGTGAAATGACAGAGGTGAAGAGTCATGAACACAAAGATCAGCTAGTACAGCAACAGAATGAAATCATCCTTATACAACTACCTATAGCCACTTCAGTGCAAGCGGTGAAAATAAACCCCTTCAGTTTGTCTTTTTACACATGCAGTATTACTACTATAGTTTATAAATTGGGCAATCAGGTATCTAATAGCAAAGCAGTCTACGTTTTACTAGCAATGTTCAAAGTGTTTCACAGAATGTCAACCAAAAATAAAATTAAACACGACAATTATACACAATACACAGCCCTCCACAACAGTCCCAGTTTCTACTGCATCTCACTGGGAAATTTAATTAGCCACACCTGATTTAGGCCAAACAATCCCCCCCAGCTGAACAACAGGAACTGTCTTAAAATTCAATGTTGACGAAAAGACCTTCATTTCCCACTGCATTTGATGTGCACAGGAAAAAAGAAAAATCATGCCCACCTGTTGCATTCAATTGCTAGCAATTAGTTAATCAATGCAAACAATCAGACTAGAGTGGGCATAAATGTATCAAGGGGGTTAATTAGAGGAAAAACTGCTAAAAACAATATATTTGCAAATAGTAATCAATAACATGCTCACTTTAATTTATGGACATTTTTGACAGTACTTACTCACAGGCTCAGCCAACAGCAGATACAACAAACTAAGCACTTGAAAGAGATGAAGACAAAAATAATGCAACCCTTCCTTTAGAAATGTAAGGTTAAAAAACAGCTTTTCGTAGGCTGCAGAAAAGATGCAAGCTAAGTCAAAAAAAGGGGGAGGGGTCTTTATCTGGGTGTTTATATTGGTGCTGTTCAAAGCCTGCTGGGATCAGTCACATGACTTTGTTAAGAAATGATGTTAAAGGATAGGTAGATAAGTCTCCATTTCATTGACTGACTCATTGATTTGATCAGGGCCCTATACTATGAAGTTAGTTCAGCCTACTCAGGATATCTTCCCCTAGATTCACCCTGACAGTGGTGATCAGATTAAATGGTCACACAAAGCTCGTTATCAGCTCATTAAGTTCCCAAGGTTTACCCTGAAGTTATTTGGATAAGCTAAAATCTGGCATCACAATACAGGAATCTAGCCCTTGTCTGCTCTGATTGTCTCTCAGAAACACACCAACTATTCTCATGTCACATTTGACTGTGTGAAATAGTTTCATTATTATATTAATTTTTGCACACACTTGTGCAAGTTAAAAGCTGCAAATTGTGTTGAGGTATTTGAAGGAACTAGCAAAAATAATAATAATTATTATTGATAATAATTATTATTAATTATTGTCTGGTGTCTGGTCTAGAAAATTTGAAACTGATGTCTGTCAGCATTTTTTCCTGCTTTGCCTCTTCTTGTTTCTGTTTGTGGCAAATGAGTTACATTCTAAATATAAAGCAGGTGGGGAGAGGATGAAATACAGCTCACTGAGCTCGGGTTTAAAATATAAAAACAACACTACCAGAACTCACCTGTAACCTGACACGCCTATCTCTGTTAAACCAGTCAGACTGGTTAAATGAGGGACTTCACTTCTTTCTTTGCTTTGGTGTTTATGCAAAGAAGGAAGTGAGGTGTAGAGTGAAGGACACAGTGGTGAACATCGGGTAACTATAAATTATTTTAACTAAAGTAATTGTTTACATGTGTGTTCAAGAATCTTTGAATGATGCAACTATATTCAGGGGGGTAGGTGGCTTTAGCTAAATATATGTCATTTTAAATGTACCTGACATTAGTGGTGAAAAACTACCTTTAACCTGTAGTTTGTGTAACATTAACATAGAGTCACAAACAAATTATATTAGAGTGCTGCGCTATGTAAGAGCACAAGAAAGAACATGGACACTAAGTCATAGGGAAGAATCAGATTTAGGCTAGACTGTAAGTCCTGCGTTTTATATATTTTACATTACTACCAGACCCATATATTCCTTTCTTTATACACAATGCAAATTGAATAGAAAAATAAAATTGGTTATAGATGTTGTTGTTCTTTTCGCTCTGATGCAGAATAGTCATGGTAAATTTCTTGCATAAATCCAAAGTGTTTTTAAGTTGTACAACACATCACTAATAACTAGTAGATGGTAAGAGAGTCTCTTCAGATACACATCTATACGTCACTCAAATCTTTGATCACTGAGTACCAACATTTTCAACAGCATTTATGGAAAGGTGTTGAGTAAGTAGACCTTTGACTTGATTTGAACTTTAATGAAAGCCTCTAATATTTCATCTTCATCATAAATAAATTCATTGTCTCCTGGTATGTTGATTTGTCAAGAAAAGACCCATCATTCCCTCTGTGATTTCTCGCATCTATTTTTTGATAATACATTGAAAAATTACAGATTACATACTGCAGCTGTAATATTAAAAATAATTTTTGCCCTCTCTCTTTGACCAGGTAGCGACTGTTTTTACCAACATGAAAGGGCATCATGCTCAGCTGACATTACAGTTCTTATTGAATACTAATTGTCAGTCTTATTCCTACAATATGCAGTTCAGCATTGCCAGGTACCAGGTAAGAGGGCATGAGGAGTATGCCCCTGCCCACACATTGTTAGCTGTAGAGCAGTGAAGGTGAACAACATCCAAATATGGACTGCCACTTCAAGGCCAGTAAGGAAAACAGAGTGTACCATAGCAACACAAAAATATGACCACTTTATTTAATTATATTTAAAGAAATGTTAATAGAGTATTATGAGTTTGAAACTTAAGTTTTTCCTATACATTAACATCATATTAGTAGTGTATAGTATTAACAGAAAAGGAGAAGTTTCATTTATAAGATTGCTATATTCCTTTATGTAATTAGTTTGTCCTGCCATTTTTGTAGGGGAAGCCTATGAGATTCGTTTCCATTTCTGGTGTCTTCCTCTCTGTTTCCAACAGAATCCATCACAAACCAGGTGGCCCTGAACCTACATCTGGACCTCACCTAGAAGGTGAACCCAGCTGTGTGTCCGTGAGAAGTGATTGGTCTATGGATGAGCCCATTAACTTTAAAACACCAATGCCCTCTGCTTTTAGAAAGTAAGATACAGATTAATTTTAAATGTATAGTTATGTGCAAAACAATAGCAGTGTGTTTAAAACAATAGAGGCAAAGTTCAATGTTCCTAATAGCATTTATTGCCATACATACAAAGGCACTGAGAGCTGTGCACATCCCAAATGAAAACATGAATAATTTTGTCTTTTATTTTCTCCCTTTTTTGGGTATTTCTTCCTCAGCATAAGGCAATATGACTTCTTTCAGTATTTTTAGGTATTGAAACTGGTCCATGGTGCCTGTTATATGATAAATGGGCCCCACTCCAAACCATTATACTTGCACCTCCATGTTTTATGGTCTTCACGGTGTACTGTGGCTTGTATTTAGTGTTTGAAGTTTGTCTCACAAACTGTCTACAGCCTTTAGATCCAATGAGAACAATCTTGCTCTCATCTGTCCATACAATATTGCGCCACTTCTCTTTAGGCCAGTCAATGTGTTCTTTGCCAAACTGTAACCTTTTCAACGGATGTTTTTTTGTTTTTTTTGTTTTTTCAACTGTGGTACTTTACAAGGGTTTTTTGCAAATAGTTTGGCTTCACATAGGCGTCTTCTGATTGTTGAAGTACTCACAGGTAAATTGAGATATTCTCTGATCTCTCTGGGGCTGATCATTGGATGCTTCTTTGCCATTCTTGTTATTCTATGATCTAGGTGGATGATAGTGCTCCTTTTTCTACACATGTTTTGGGTTTTCTTTCCCATTTCAAAGCATTTGAGATCTTTTTTAGCTGAGCAGCCAATTAACTTTTTGATCAAAGTTCTTTCTGGAATGACACATTTTACTCACTGAGCAAGGAGTAAAACCAGCAGGCACAGCATCTGCTGCCTTTCTTAAATAATGGGCCATAATTGACACCAATTTCTTCACAGATTGAATGACCTCCCTAACTGAACACCACACACCCCTTTCACTGAATTAGTCAATTACCCCCAATGAGGAGCGTGCATGTCATGTCTTTTAAGTCATACTGTGGAAAAATATATAAAATGATCGAAAATTAATGAGAATAATAAATAATTAAAG